CCCAAAAACTTTAACACACACACACACACACACACACACACACACACACACACACACACACACACACACACACACACATATATATATATATATATATATTAGGGGAAAGAAGTATGACAAATTAAAAATGTTTTCGTGTGATGCATTTCGTCATTTAGGAATTCATCGTACTAAATTTCATTTTCGATTATATACACAAATTATATATGAAATTTAAAAAGAAAATAATTTTAAACTCTCAGTGTCCTCACCGCCCTTTGTGCGCATGCGTAATCGCATCAACGTAACTATAAATTTAGTCCGACGAAAAGAATCAGGCGAAAACTTTTCCACCTTATCAAACTTCTTTCCCCTAAAATTGTTTTTGAGAAAAAGTATACAACGTTGTCCCATATATATATATATATATATATATATATATATATATATATATATATATATATATATTATATATATGAACTTTTCATTGAATACGACAGACAAGGTGCTTTTTATCTATTTTTTTATACAATTTCTCAGGCGATCTAATAATTTTTTTTCTTTTCGAATGATAAATTATATAAAAACTGTCTGAATATTATTTTTATCCGGCTGCTTTCGGCTATACATTTAGCCATTTTCAAGGATTAAATATTTTAACTGTTAAATAAGAAATAGTTTGTTGTATGTATGTTTTATAAAATGTTTACATTTTTCAAAACACGGTCAAGATATTGTGTCCATGTTCAAAGTTAATATTATTAAGTGTTGTTTTTTTTTTATTAATAAGGCTTCCAATATTTTTAGCCTTTTTTGCATGTAGATGATGTTATTATATTAGTGTTGTCAACAAGTATGTTACGAATAGTGTCCGGTAGGTCTCCATGAATATTTAAATGGTTAGAAAGGTGTAGAGTGAGTACATGGTGTTCCCCCAAAATTGACATCATTTAAATTAAATAGACTTCATGTTGAACAATAAAAGATTTATTTTATCAAAATTCGAGCAAAATATTCAAAGTGATGTAGATTTTATAACCGATTTTACAAAGCTCCACAAATGTTCAATATGCGCACCACATGTAAGACGTCACTCCTCAAGTCGTTAGTCCAGCTCCTGCCAAACACGCAGTAGCATGTCTTGCGTTACATTCTTTAGCGCCTCCGTGATTCTCTGCTTAAGTTCCTCTAAGCTTGTAGGAAGAGGGGGATATATAGACCTCAGCTTTCATATAGCCCCATAGAAGAAAATCACAAGGTGTCAACTTACGTGAAAGTGGTTGCCGTTTCAACAGCATATTGTCATTATCACTGGCACGCCCAATCAATATTCCCGCTGGATTCTCATTGAGATATGTCCGCATAGTTAACTTAGTTTTTACACATTTTGTTAAAATTTCAGATCATTTGAGCGAGAATTGGCAATGTTATTAGACTACAAAATGATGCCAATTTGGGGAGACACCACACACACACAATATCTATATCTATCTATCTATCTATCTATCTATCTATATATATATATATATATATATATATATATATATATATATATATATATATATTATATATATTTGAACAATAAAAATTAAAATCTTCAGACACACTGGGTTGTAGATTAATATTCTTTCGTTTTTTTTTTATTACTATTTCATTTAGATTCCTCGACTAGTTTCGGCCAAAATGGCCATCATCGGGAGAAGAAATATTTCTGCTTGCTGGTAACAGTAAATTACAGAATATATATATATATATATATATATATATATATATATATATATATATATATATATATATATATATATATATATTTGAATATATATTCTGTGTATTTAAGTAGCAAACGTTCTGTAGGGCAAATACTATTAAAAACGTCAGCCATTTTGTATCGATTAATTTTAATGATTGATGGTTGTTTACGCATTTTGAGATGAGTCCAGAGGGAAAATATCTACACTTTTATCCCCTTATTATTCCTTTCATGACTCGTGTGGTTTTCTTTCCGTGTTGAAATCTCTCTTAAAATGCTCAGATATATTTGCTCACTTGCTCTTGTGATTCTTGAAACAACAACTGATACAACCTCATTCTATAATCGCTCTCAGCTTGCGTCATCGTGTTCCACTGAAGAACGCAAATGCAATTTAACTCCATTTCTAACGACCGGAAATGATGACAAATAGAGTGATAGAAAAATAACTCCTTATTTTATGTATGAGTGGCCATATGTCGACTAAAAAAAAGAAAAAAAAAATCTCCGTAAATGTTTGTATTATACAGTGATGCTTATTTGGGGGAAACAATGTTTTCTGTGATTCATTTTCGTAAGAGCAATTGGAGAACAATAAAGCAGGTGCAATTTTGAGCACTCACGTGTCAGAAAAAAACAAAAAACAAAAAAAACTATAGATTCTAAAAGAGAAGTTGTTTTTAATATCCGAATGTAATTCACATTTCACGAAGTGTCACGTGAAAGCAAATATTTTAAAAAGTAACTCTCTTTTTCTCTGACTATATATATATATATATATATATATATATATATATATATATATATATATGACGGTCAACCTTCAGTAAGCCCTTCGTGTGGATTTGTTTGCAAATCCCGTGCAGGATTATTATCTCATACGAAATATAAACATAAAAACTGAACTGAAAGACACTCATACGTTGAAATCGACGGGAGTGTCCTTCATATATATATATATATATATATATATATATATATATATATATTGTCATCCACAGACAGTCTGTTTCGCTGTATCACAGCTCATCAGTGTGGCTAGACGTCTGGTTTTAATACATATGTGTATGTGTGTCATATCCATTTCTTGTAAAAATTAATAAATTTAATTAATTAATTTGATAAATAAATTATAAGTATTTTAAAATGTGGAGTTACTTTCCAATCACACTATACATATATGACATACATACAAATCTGGCATCTCGACTTCAAATACTTTCTCACAGATGTGATGCGGCTTCTCGCTACAAATATTTTAATAGCAACTCTTCTGCCGAACTATTTTTACTGGTTCCCCGATTGCATAAATTTAAGCGTGCTACTAATTTGGCATCTCGATCCTACCCTTTTATTGTCGAAACAGTAACCGCCTCCTCTACTCCAACAACTTCTTCTCTCGCACTTCCCGACGGTGGAACTCCCCTTCTCTTACTTGTTTCCCTGATAAATATAGTCTTCAAATATTCAAATGTAATGTCAATCCACATCTACTGATGCCTTGATCTCGATACCCGTCCTTCAGTTTATCCTTTCTTTAAATACCCTCTTTACTCTTACTCTCACTTATGCATACATACATACATACATATATATATATATATATATATATATATATATATATATATATATATATAAAGTTGAACATTGAAGTCAACACTCAGAGGCGACAGGCTGTTTCATGCTAGACGCAATTGTGTGTCTAGCATGAAACAGCCTGTCGCCTCTGAGTGTTGACTTCAATGTTCAATTTTATATTTATATTTACATACGCTCTATCTCTGATATTGAGCACTTTATCCCATAAATATATCACACCGTAAAACTATATTTCTTCACACACACACACACACACACACACACACACACACACACACACACACACACACACATATATATATATATATATATATAAGAAATATTGTCTTAATGTGTGCTATATCTATGAGATAAAGTGCTCAATATCACAGATAGAGCCTGTGTAAATATAAAAGTGAACATAGGAGTCAACACTTAGAGTCTGTTTCATGCTAGATTCAATCCTCAGGCCACCTATATATATATATATATATATATATATATATATATATATATATATATATATATATATAATCATTTTATCTTTCTTTTAATATATATTAAATTTATTGGACAATGGGTTTGTATTTCAGCATTTGTTAGAGTCGCAACGAAAAGAATGCAAGACAAAAATTAAGGTTCTTTTTGGATTTAAAAGTTTCTTCTATTTTTTTCTTCGTTTCTTTTTAACAAAGCGAGTAACCTACGATCAAGACCACATGAAATGTTCATTTGCATTGATTGATTCATTTTCTTCCGTTTATCAACCCTTTGATGAATATTTAAAGCAAGAAAATATTTTATGTTGTAAGAAGTTTTTTTTTTGACGATAATAATGATTTAGTGATACAATTCTTACTAATTAACCCATAACTGGGGGATGGTTTCATACTTAATCAGTATCTGATAAACTGATATAATGTGGATATAAAGTGGAGGAGCAATTCTACATTACAATCGACACATGGCACAGTGGATAAAGGCGTTGGTTAGATCCAGTGACAGACCCAAAGAAGGTGAGTTCAATTCCTGGGTAAGGCAGTGGAGAACTTTCAGAGGGAAAATTAGCAGGAGATAACTGATAACTGATATCCATCAAACATGGCACGTGGAACTAGAACAGTCTATCCCAGTGATCGAAATAAAGGGTTCAGTTCGAAATTCCAGCCACCTGAAGAAGGCCGGAGCGCACAACGGCCGAAACGTTTTAATAAATATGGCGACAAAGATGAGGACAATAGTCCGACTAATGTAAATACTGTACATAATACCTCATCTCAGAAATATAGACAGACTCCAATCGATATATAAGTTCATCGTTCATTTTGTAGTCACCATAGTTTCTATACATTTATGTTCCAGAGAATGTAAATAAATCTGAAAGTCATATCTGTGTAGCTAATCAGTATTTCATCGATTGTTTCGTTTTTTACGGTTTATCAACCCTTTGCAGTTTATTTAACGCCAGAAAATATTTTAGATGGTAAGAATTTTTTTAGATAATAATGATTTAGTGAGACAAGTCTTACTAATTAACCCATAGCTGGGTGGGTAGGATAGGTGGATTCATGTCTTTTTCAAGGGTTTTTGCGCATAAGTGAAAATAACGAACCCAACTGGAATTCGAACTCGGCTCTCCGATTAACAATTCTGACTCATTATATGTACATTACGCTATCCGCACTAGCAAACTTACTGCACCTTGTATTAATAAGTGGTCACCCATCAAGCTACTGACCAGGCTCGATGTTACTTAACTTCGGTGACCTTATGGGAACCCGTGTTTCAATTAGATATAGCTGTAAGCTACTCATTTACAGAGCTGGTTCGACGCAACACAATCTTTATTATTTCTCATTTGAGGCAACAAATTTGATATGAAGAAAAAGGGAATTATTGTATATTTTTCGACTTGTATTTTTCTCATCTTAACCCACTAACTGCCAAATTTTTTAATGCGTATTTTTGGCTCAGACAGGTGTCTTAGGAGTTTATTTATTCCTTATGTTTAATTTCAGTAGTTACCATTGTCGTTTTTATAGAAACTAGAACATCAAATATATATGTGTATAAAACATCAAAAAATAATATTGATTAGCAATAATAAAAACATACTTTTTTCAAAATAGTCATTATTTTTCTCCTCGTGAAATGTAAAATTACGACAGAAAGTGTCTTCTTACGGCTAATAATAAAAACTTTAAAGGCTAAGTGTTTTAAAATATACCTCTGCAAATACAATGTATGTAAGCAATTCAATGTAAATACAAGGAATAACATGTAGTGAGTTTAATTTTAACAGATCCCAAAATGAGGCTCATGGTAGGTAATGGGTTAATACATTCTTTATTTTTGTTTTTATTATTATTACATGAAGCATTCTCAATCATTATTAATACTTGACTATAACAACCGATTATTGGACAGTCCTCGGTACAAATATCAGGTCATCCCATAAGTTCAGTCCGAATTTTAACTTTTTGTTAAAATGAACGAAATTTAAAGAGTATTTTATAATGTCTAATGGAGCTGAACATTATTTTTATGTTTAGATGCATTTAAACTGATCAAATTTTATTTCAGAGAACAATAAAATTAAATTTTGTTTGATTAAAACCCTGCTAACATGGAAGTACCCAAGAATCATTTGAGGCACATAATGCTTTAAGAGTTCAAGAAAGGAAACTCAGCAGCCGAAGCGGCTAGAAACATTCACTCAGTTTATGGAGAGGAATGTGTGAATGAAAGAACTTGCAGAAGATGGTTTGCAAAATTCAGAGGTGGAGATTTCACCCTTGAAGATGAAGATCGAACCGGACGTCCAGTTGAGTTTGATGAAAAGCTTCTTGAAGCAGCCCTTGAAGAAAATCCTGCTTTATCAGTTGAGGAATTGGCAGTGGTTCTCAGGTCAAACCATACATCATACATTCATCGTCATCTTCAACAACCTAAACTTTGAAAATGGGTACCTCATGAATTGTCTGAAAACAACCTCAAATCCCGAGTTGACATCTGCTCTTCTCTCCATTCTCGCCAACTTGTTTCACCTTTTTTGGATAGACTTGTGACTGGCGACGAAAAATGGATCTTTTATCGAAATGTTAAGTGTCGTAGACAGTGGCTTGGTAAAGGGGAAGGACCTCAGCCATAGCCGAGAAGGAAACTTCATGGGCAAAAGGTTCTTCTTTCAATCTGGTGGGATCGCCAAGGAATAATCCACTTTGAATTCTTACCACCTAATGCAACAATTAATGCTCAAATATACTGTCAGCAATTAGAGCGTTTGAACCAAGCTTTGAGGAAAAAAAGACCTGCTCTAGTGAATCGAAAAGGGGTGATGTTTCATCAGGACAATGCATGACCCCACGCAGCAAGAATCACGTCACAAAAGATCGATGAACTTGATTGGGAGAAAATTCCTCATCCACCTTATTCTCCCAATCTTGCTCCTTCAGACTACCATTTGTTTCGTAGCTTACAGAATCATTTGGAAGAAACAGCTTTTGTAACACAGGAAGAGATTAAAACTGACATTTGTGAGTTCTTCGAATCAAAGCCAAAAGAATTTTAGAGTAATGGAATTAGTAAGCTTGTTAATAGATGGAAGGAAGTTATAGATAATCAGGAGAAATACATTGTTGATTGAATATGTAATTAAATGTAACATTTGGTCACTTGTTTTCTTTATTCAAAATTCGGACAGGACTTTGGGATGACCTGATATCTACTCATTACTCTAGGTATTTATTTATTTTTCCTTAATGCCATCATCTGGACGATTCCAACTCTTCTAATTTCAAGGCTCTTCTTGTCTTTTTCTTAGGCTCTTCGGAATCGTTCCCATTGCTCTGACAATCACGACGACTAGTCTCTGTATTCCATATAAATGTCTCAGCTGTTTAGCAAAGTCGATATGCTTATCTTTTTGTTCATATTCTTTTAACTCTGTGCTCTGCCGAGAGAGAAAAGTCGGCCATGTTTTCCTTTTTGTTTATTATTAGCAGACCGAGTCTTCCGGATGATCCGCTTCAGTTCCAATGTCCAAGACGATTTTGTCACATCATTCCTATTATTATTGTTATCCTCTGAATTTTCATATCAGTAAAAACCGGTAGTTTTCACTGAAGATCAAGTGACAGTAAGTCATCTCCATTCTTTAGCACCCACCTCAGTATTCGAGCTAAATTTAATAATGCTTCTGTTATAGAGGAATAAAGTGTCGCTGCCGGCACTTGAGTTTGAATTTAGATCGCCAGTAAACACGGGCGATCCCATTATTGAATTAAGTAGACCACGTGACCATAGAGAAAACGTATATATGCAGGAAGTAGCTGACAACTAATTGATCTACATTTTTAGTCTATCCTCTATTACTATACCGATCATTATTTCTGCCCTATCCTCTGTTACTATTCGGATCTGCATTTCTATTCTATCCTCTGTTACTATATGGACCGCTATTTTTTACTCTATTTACTATATTATTCCTCCATTCGGATCACCATACGGATTACTATTCGAGCGAATATTATCGAGCATGTACTATTAGAGCGAGGGATATTCGAAGGCGTCTGACATTAGTATTGTTCAATGGCGTTCAGTCAGTTATGTGCCATGCGTGATACACGCTTAGGCGATACATGCTGTCGATACCATGACTGACGAGTCAGATATTTTCCCGCAGTTGGTTGCCATTTCTTTCTGCGGTAGACCAGTTGCCACTCAAGGCTACAGAACCCGGTCTGCTATGTACCCATAGCTGAGGGGGAGAGAAGAAGAGGATTCATATCTTTCCCGAGGGGATTAGCACGTTGTTACTATAGTTGTAATCAGCGATTACAAAGTCTCTACTACAACGAGCATTACGAAAGTGACAAGTATTCGTTGGCATCACAAACGTGGTAACGAGTGCTCGATGATATCACAAAAGCTTTCATTTCGATAATTTTAATTCCTAATCTGATTTTTATTTTTTTCCAATCATTTTACGAGATTTCATCTGATTTCCCAACTTTGTATTGTACATAAAAGTAAGTAATGAAAATTCTCGACATCTTGTAAACCTATTCAAAGGCCAAATTGTACAGCATTAATATTCAAACCAGGTGATATTTATGTCCCTGTCTAATTAAAAACTGTTATATAGGAATAAAGTGTCGCTGCTGACACTTGAGTTCGAACATAGATCGCTAGTGAGCAAACACAAGCGATTATTGAATTAAGTAGACCACGTGACCATAGAGGAAACGCCTAAGTAAAAAGTAGCGTGACGTCTAAACGATCGCTATTCCTATTCTATCCTCTATTACTATTCAGAATGCTATTTCTACTCTATCCTCCATTACTAATTGGATCGCTATTCTCTACTCTATTCACTATACTATTTCTCTATTCGGATCACTGTACGGATTACTATTCGAGCGAGTATTATCGAGCAAGTACTATTAGTGCTGTTCGAAGGCGTCTGACACCAGCATTGTTCAACGGCGTACTATAGTTGTATCTTCAATTACAAAGTCTCTACTACAACGGGTATTACGAAAGTGACAACGAGTATTTGTTGACATTACAAAAGTGGTAACGAGTAATCGTCGACATCACAAAAGCTTCAATTTCGATAATTTTAATTCCTAATCTGATTTGTTTCCAGTCATTTTGCCAAATTTCATCTAATTCCCCAATTTTATTTATCATGAGTCACTGGTTTGTTAACACACCATCTCGTCTACAATCCGCTGTTCTTGCTTCGATTGAATGTTTCAGAACATTTTATTATTTACTATTTTGAATTTCTAGAACAGAAATTGGCGTCTTTCACGGGGAATCAATTGGCAACCATTTTGGGTTTTGCTTTTTATAATTTTGCTATCATTATTCTCGCTCTCAATAACTGGAACAAAGTTGTAGACTATCAAAAGATGACAGATCCAGAAATCAAACACAAATTCCTTTCTTACTCAAGGTTAAAACCAAGAAATTCTTTGACTTATAATTTTACTTCACCATCCCTAACGCATTGCATTTTCATATCCAATGAGAATAGACAAAAGAGGTTAAAAGTTAAGCAAGTGAGTAAAGCTTTCTTTTGTGCCACAGGGCGGTGGCCCTTCTTTTCATAAGAGGAGTGGTCTAGTAATCCTTGGTAGAAGTCCGTTAACTGTTAAAGGTAAAATGACACTTGAGTCCGAAAAGATTGAATGATAAAAATAAGGTGTACAAAATTAAACCGCCATGTTTTGACACTGAATTACGTCTCAGCTTTTTTATTTCCTTTTATATTCAGCTTATCTATCTATGTATCTCTCTCTCTCTCTCTCTCTCTCTCTCTCTCTCTATATATATATATATATATATATATATATATATATTAGAAAAAGAGAAAAACCGCAAAAGTTTTTGGTTATAATGTGGATTTGTTTTGGTGTATATATTATATTTTATTCTTCATATAGTCGTCCGATAAGTCTTAAAGGTAAAATGAAGAATAAATAGGCATCTATGAAGAACAAAATATAATATATAAACTAAAACAAATCCACATTATAACCAAAAACTTTTGCGTTTTCTCTCTTTTTTTTTTCTCCCGTTGAAACAATTATAATCGTTTCCACACATAAACTGTTGTGGATTCCGGGATGAAATCCGGTCTCAAATGAATGACAAACGCAGGAATGAAATATAGCAAATAAATGTATTGACGTAATAATACAATTGGTAATACGGTTAGTAGATCCAGAAATGCGGTTAGTAGCAATAATAATATATATACAGTCTGGGAAATTCAGTATCGAAGTATGACTT